CATGATACACAAAAATTGCTTTTCACTTTCTTGTTGTAAGCCTGGGCAACACTAGCTTTGTCTCTCTCAATATCCTTTAGAGACTTTATGTTTTTGTTGGTTACCTCATCGACATTGTCCATCACTAATTCATGATATATAACAATAGATAGATCATTTTGCTTAGCCAAATATATATGCGTCTAGATTTACTTCAATGGGCAACATAGCTGCTTGTCCATATACTAGCTCAAAAGAAGTACCTTTAGTAGATATACAATGAGCCCATAGAGCTTCACACAGAACTTCATGCTATCTCCTAGGATTGTCCTAAATTTTCTTTTCGAGAAGTTGATCAAAATCTTGTTACTTGACTCAGCTTGGCCATTAGCTTGAGCATAATATGGAGTTGGATTGCGCAACTAAATATTATATATGGGGCAATTTTGGTCTCTTTAGCCTAGTCTCTTTTCGGATTTATTTGCATGGTTTTTGTCTTCCATTGGTGCAGAACAATTCAAATTCGACATGCCACATGTTCATTTATACTGAGAGCATGAGAAGAAATCCAAGGTTTTTTCTTTCAAATTTGAATAAACACATCAAAGGAAAAAATGACTAAAAAAACCACAGTAGCAAACACTCGGTTCTAGATGCACAGACATCTCCAGCCCTACTCCGTAGCAAAGCAAAAACCACAGTGGCATATATTCTTGCAAATTATGTTGTAGGCCGTTCAATGAGAATAGAACCATGAAGCATTCACAGTATATTGCGTTGTTGGACAAAGACCCTATACAGAACTGAAAAGAATCGTGCTAGCAACTTCCAAGCTCTGTAATACATGGGATTTCGCAAGGATTATGGGCCCTCACTTGAACATTAAACTTTTTTCTTCGCTTTTGCTTGGGATAAATCGATACGGTCCAAAAACTTGCAAAAACATGCGTACTACAATAAACTCAAATATGCATGATCCTCCTGACTATGCATTTTTTACCATTCTCTCCAGCACTGTGAAACATGCACAGCTGGTGACACGACAATCAAAAGATAACGAGATCACCCATAGTAATGTAACCCATGGTTTAAATATCTTTTGTGATCAGGCTCTAGCATTATACTAACAGTAGTAAACGACGACCTGCATGTATGAAGTCTTAACGGACTGCATGCATGTTTGAAGATCAACACAAGCCTCCCTAGGTCACCCCGAACGTTTATGTTCTCGCAGTGGTTGACATTGCAGAGGTGACCTTGAGGTTTTCGCAACGACTTTGCCAAATTCAGGCATGGGTTTAAAAAATATCCTATGTGTCCTGGCGATCTCGATAAGAAAGACAACTTACAATGCAAGCTGTAGTAGCGAAAGAATCCTTGAAGCCTTGAACCCTAAGCGCCCACTTGCAGTTTTTGGATAGTTCAGGCCGAGATTGTCTCTGATAGCTGTCATATAACATTGTGAAGAAAATACTAATGCATTAGTACAGAAGGAAACGTTAAAGCCATCTCTTCCTTTGAACGGAAGGATCAAATGTATATTTTTCTCACAAATGCCTTGTCAGTTATTTAATTACACCGTGATGACACATAATGACTTGAGTGCATTGGTGTGTTGACGCTAATTAGGTCACACACCAGCAAAGAGCTAGAATGCTTAGTAGAGGCAGGCTAAAATCAGCCTAGCCAACTTTTTGGACTGTTGCTGAACAACATGTTTGCACATGAACACTTCCCCTGATGCCCCCCAATGATGAGCACGCTATGCAAGACACATTGCTAGAGGAGCCTCTCGTCGGGTGTGTGATATGCAAGATATCATTGATGTTGATTCAGGTCAACACTAGCACGTGCTAGGATGTCCGAGGTCGCACACCCTGTTCGCTTGATCGTTTATGTGGCTTATAAGGCGGCTGATGCTGTTTTGTTGTGAGAGAAAAACACTATATCATGGCTGATAAGCATGGCTGATACGATCAAGCGAACATGGTGACAATGGAGAGGGGTTCAAACAGCGAGGCCGACCAGCGAGTTGGCCGAGTGATGTAGACATCCGTCCTTCATCGGAAAAGCTCGCAAACACCTCCCAAGATGTCCTCGTCGGGAAGGAGCACGACGAGGTTGCTCTAGGATCGGTAAGGCCATCAAGAACACGAATGAATCTTATCGAGAGAGACGCTAGACAGCAGGGGTTGAAAGAGCTAAAGTTGGAGAAAATGAGTAGTAGATTGATTTTTGATCGATTGTGTATGCTTAACATCAAATCAGCTATGATCCTCTAATATATAGAGAGGGGGGTGGTCTTATCCCAGTAGGAAAACTTTCCAAGTTGCCTACTAGTTTCCATGAGATCATGAGAGTTTGGATCTAGTTCAAGATGAATTGGATTCGGACAGACAAATCCGACCTGGGCCGGTTTGTACAGGGCCATGCGGGAAGGCCAGTTTGTACAGGGCCACACAGCCTAGGGCAATTTTAATTGGGTTTTGCCTATCTAGTCCAAATTTGATCATTTTTGTTTGTATTTGATTCGCAAGTCCTAATGCAACCTCCTTTGACCTTTTTGGCTGTCAACATATGCCCCTGTTTTTAAAGTGAAGCACATAGGAGTTTTCAAAACACATGATAGCAATAGCAACGATGTGAAGCCATCAGCTATTTTGTGCTGAGGGTGATGCATGCAACAACCATATTTGTTCTAAGGCCAATATTATATATCAACCATTGTATTACTAAGCCAGAACAGTCACTGCCGGTCGTGCTTGACTCGACTATGATTACTTATCACTGCCGGGTCGTAAGCCTCGGATCCATAAACTTAGCATCACTGCCGGCTCAAACAACCACCCAAGAGAGGCTTCTTGAAGTAAGTTGTCACCATCTTCCCCATGCTTATTCCAAACCATAGTTTTCCATGAACCCCATTACCAGCAGATGACAATAGATTGGCTCGATGTATTGAAACTATTTCTGATTTTTGCAACCGACACATGTGCAGTATATGTAATTATGTATTCATCATTCCGTACATTATTTGTGTTGCACGCCTTGGTGGCCTCCACAAAAGACTTGGTGCCTTCTACGAATCAAGCAGACATGGGCTCCAAAGTGTACATCCATCCATGATCCATATGTGAATAACAAGATGAGTACAATGACCTAAAGATAGCAGATATGGCCTCTTTCTCTCCCTTCTATATGATCCTCCTACAAGGCATGCAACCGAGGGAGAAGAATGTCGAGCCAAGAAGCACGATGAACGAATGCAGAAAACATCGACCACCAAACTAGGCTGTGTTGTTTGAGCCTTTTTGGCTACACAGATGTTTAACATAAAGCCTGCTACATAATTTATACTTAGGGTTTTTTATTAGCATGTGGTTCATGAATTTTGTTGGGGTCAGTCGACTCCTACAAAATTCAGAAAATCTTAATTTAGTAAATTACTATTTGATTCAAGGTTCAGTGTACAATATAGTTTAGTTGACCGATATGATATTTAAGGTTGGCTTTGCCATGTTACGGATTTTACATGGAGGGTGGAGTGGTAGGAGAGTGTTAGGCTGGTGAGCTATTGGAGATGGATGCAACAGGACAGGATGAGTACAATGACCTAAAGATAGCAGATATGGCCTCTTTCACTCCTCTGTGATCCTCCTACAAGGCACGCAATCGAGGGGCAAGAATGTCGAGCTGGTGAGCAGCCATGCATGGGGCGCAATCGAGCCACCTCATCCACTCCGTTGCCCTGCCCGATCGAAATCTGCTAGGGGTCCTGAAGAATATAGAGGTCTCGAGCAACACTCTAAATGAGAACTAAATTATGCATTAGAATAAACCAATAGTAGTAATGTGAACTATACTGTATTGTTTAAAAAGTACGATGATATGGACTGATCGCTGATGGAAGACGAATAATTGATTAGAACTGGACATTGATCCGTCTCCTTGATTAGTCATTCGTAAGAGCCAAGAAGCATGATGCACGAATGCAGAAAGCATCGACCACCAAACTAGGCTACATTGTTTGAGCCTTTTTGGCTACACACAGATGCTTAACACAAAGCCTGCTACATAATATATACTTAGGGTATTTATATTAGCACGTGGTTCTTGAATTTTGTTGGGGTCAGTTGACTCCTACAAAATTCAGAAAATCTTAATTTAGTAAATTACTATTAGATTCAAGGTTCACTGTACAATATATTTTAGCTGACCAATATGATATTTAAGGCTGGCTTTGCCCTGCCATGGATTTTACAACTATAATAAGTAACGACATGGAGGGTGAAGTGGCAGGAAAGTGGGTAGGCAGGTGAGCTATTGGAGATGGATGCAACAGGATAGGGGGTGGCCGGTCGCTGGGGAGGGAGGGCGTCTGGGAGTAGTGCATAATGGTGGACAAGAGGAAGAAGCTAACCGTAGTGGAATATGTTGCGTACTATTTCCATTCTAAAAGAAATCTTTCTATATGAAACCTGCGCCCAAACCGCGGCCAGACAGCGTGCCACGTCACCGGCTTTTCGCGGCCGTTCGATCGGGCGCGCGGACGGCCCAGATCGGGCGAGCCGCAGTCATTTTACGAAAAACCCCTTTAACTGTTCGGAAATCAACCCGCGCTCCAGAGGCACTCTCAGAATATTTTGCAAAAAACACCTCATATTATTTCTAAATCAACCCGCAGTCCAGAACGGATGGGCTCTGGTTTTTTTGCAAAAAAGACCTTCACTTTATCGAAAATCAACCCGCGCTCCAGAGACACTCTCAGCAATTTTTACGAAAACCTCCTCAGATTTTTCTCAAATCAAAATACAGGCCAACTTTGATTATCTCTCTTTTTTTTCCCTCCTGATGCGGCGGCGGGTGCCAGGCGACGGCGCCCTTGTGGCCGCTGCGCCGACGCGAGTGGGGCCCAGCGGGCCGCGGCCGCCACGGACAGCAGCAACCGGTAGCAGGAGCGCAGCAAGCAAGCGCAGGCCCCGAGCTCTACTGCAGCCGCCGACACCACCGCGCCGAACGCCATGGGCGACCCGGCGGAACACCGTCCAGTGGAGGAGGAGGAGGAGGCCGCGGCGGCCGGCGAGGACGAGGACACCGGCGCCCAGGTCACGCCCATCGTAAAGCTGGAGGAGGTCGCCGTTACCACCGGAGAGGAGGACGAGGACGTGCTCCTCGACATGTGAAGTCATCCGCGACCGCTTCGATCCTCCCCCTCCCCGATCCGCCCCAATACGATTTGGTGGCTAGGTCTTGTTGATCTGACGACGTGCGGCGATTGTGCAGGAAGGCGAAGCTCTACCGGTTCGACAAGGAGGGGAACCAGTGGAAAGAGCGCGGAACAGGCACTGTGAAGCTGCTCAAGCACAAGGAGACCGCCAAGGTCCGCCTCGTGATGCGTCAGGCGAAGACACTTAAGATCTGCGCCAATCATCTTGGTAATCACTCCTCCATACAACGCGTCAGGGAGCAGTCTCTTTTGCTTCGGCGAGCGCAGTGGGATCTATGGCCGGAATCCACAGTGGCACTTGGGTCCTTAGCGTGGCGATGGAGCTTGACGTCTCAGCGACGAAGCGGTCCAGGTGAGGTGCGCTGTAATTTTTTTTATCTATCTTCACTTCTCTTTCTTACAGTCTCTCAGATCTGGTGCCACTGATGAAGGTTACAGAAGAGCATGGCCAAACAGCAGGAGGCATTGGATCTCTGTCCCCCAGCCGCAGCCACCGTTCGTCATCGATCTGCACTACGCTGCCGACACCGCCCCCTACAGTCCCTGCCAGCCATCAAGGTGAGGCCTTCCTCTCCCTCACTCCGATTTGTATACAGCCTATAGGTATTGTTACCTACAGTACTGCTAAAGATGAGAAATTGTTTTGTTTGTTAGTCTATGCCATATATTTAGGCATAGTTGTGATTGGAGATGGTTTGTGTATTTCACTGCTAAGGTATTGTATTGCATGGCTTGAAATACTCTGAATTAACATATCAAATTTATGTAAAATACTATTTTGCATACCATGGTAGCAAACCCAATAATCTATCCTTACTTACATTGCCATGATTGAGTGTTTCAGAATACAGATGGCTGCTTAGTGAGATTGCTAGACTAAATGCAAATGTGGAGCGGTAGAGGAAGACAACATGCCAGTACAGAGTGTTCTTTCTCCTGAGTTCCACGGTCATATGGATAGGTTTTGACATTGGAGAGTATTGCTTAACCCTTTTCTCTGTTCGAACAGTGGTGGCGACGACTAAGATGCAGGAGCACGCGGGGAGCGACAAGTCGTGCATGTGGCACGCGCTGGACTTAGCCGACGGTGAGCTCAAGGAGGAGATGTTCGCCATCCGTTTTGGATCTGTCGAGAGTGAGCACCTAGAACCATATCTTACCTCTTTATCTCTCCTTGCATCTGTTCATAGCTAGCAGCTTACACTGTCATAATGTTTGGTAGCTCTGTTGAGTGAACTATTTATTGTTGTTTTGGCTTACTTTTGTCTTACAAAAGTTGATTGATCACTGGCCTTTGGATCTATGAATTATGTGATAAGCTAAGTTTGTTTGATGCCATTCATGTATTGTATTTGTTTTTGATGTATATTGTTCGGTGACCCTCCTTCACATTATGATGCCCCATCAATTCTTAGTTGTATTGTACTGGCCTTCGAACTCATAGTGCTGTCCTCATAACAATCATCAGTAAAGCTTCATGTTTCCTGTTTCCATGATATGGTTTTGTTTCGCATTTGCCTGTATTTCTGGCATGCTACTCTTGGTGCAGTCAGGCTGTCTTCTGTTCTTCAAGTATTTTAAGTTACTTCCAATGTTTTTTAATCGGTACAGATGAACACCACAAATATTTTTGTTTGCGTATTCAAGCATCATAAGCTAATAACTTTAGATGGCACATGTGAACCTACCCCAACTCTTGTAAGCAATATTGAACTGGAGAAGGTATATCGGTATATGTGTCCTGCCTTTTCTTGCATAAACTGTTTCTGGAAAATACATATTAGTACTCAAGACACTCTCAAAAAATGTCAACAACTTTCTTCACTGCTAGCTACGTAAATAGAGGGAACCTATTTTATGACTCATTGCTGTTTATTCGAGATTACCTTTGGATTTCAATTCAGTCCTTTGCAGTGACTATTCGTCCACAGAGATACCAATTGATGGAAAACTACTTAAGTCCATGTTCAGATCTATTTCACTGACGACAAGATCATACTATCTCAGTTTGTTCAGAGAGCAGTGAATTGAGATGGCAAACTCTGATTGATGAGTTCTTTCACTTACATCCCATTCAAAGCAAAGTTCACTCAGTTCAGAAAAAAAACAAGAATCTCAGTGAAATCCATACTTCCAAAATACTCTTATATACTGATAAAACATATGCGAACTAATTCACTCCGAATAAAAGAATTATCTCTGTTAACAATCTCTGATCTTTACTATAAGTACAAATTGGTGCCTTTAAACATAGCCAGAAAATTAGAGTACTCTTTAGAATCCAATGGGCTGTGGCCTCCTCCAAGCTGGGCGCGGCAATCGCCGCGCTGGTCTTTCTAGTCATTTTCTAATATTGTTCTTAGTCAACTGTTCTAAGTTTGATAGAATGTATTGAAAAGAGCACTAATATTTACAACAGAAATTAGTATTACTAGATATATATGAAATATGTAACACCCTAAAAATTTTAATTTTGAAAATAGGTTTAAAATGATTAATTTATGAATTTTTGTGCACATGAAATATAGAAAAAAGAATATTTTCATTAAATTAAAATTCATCATAAGGAGTAGCAACATGGATGTGCATACATGCCGGTGCATTTGATTTATTGCAAAGAGTGGTTGAATCCAAAATTCAAAATGAATTCAAAATGCTTTTCAAAATGAATTTGAAAATGGCTTTGAAATAAAAGAATTTAAAAAGTTGTAAAATTTATTTTTAGAAAACTTACCAAAATTGCTCAATGTTATTTGAATTGAAAAGTGTATTTTAAACCATATTCAAATTTGATTTGGTTTATATTTGAAATTGGTTTTAAAATAGAAAAGAAAATAGGAAAATGGAAAACCTCTCTCCTCTCAAGGCCCAGCAGCCCAGCAGATCTCTCTCTCTCTCACTCTCTCTCCTCTCCCGTGGCCTGCTTCTCTCCCTCAGGCTCCCTTTCCAGCGAGCCCACCCTGTCAGCTGGCCCAATGCTCTCTCCTCCCTCCCTCACCAGCATGGGCGGCCTCTAAGCCGGCCCAAGAGCTCTCCCCTTCCTCTCTTTCTCTCTCCCGGCCGTAGGCCCAATCTCACCCACAAGCCTAGCTTTGGCCATGGCAGCGCGCTGCGCATCTCCTCTCCTCTCTCGGTCTGTGACATGCCAGGCCCGCATGTTAGGCCCTTCTCTTACCTCGCGTAGCCAGGCCAGACTTCGATGCCACTGAGTCCGTCTCTATCCCGTCCTCCTCCTTGGCATGGCCTTCAAGCCAGCGGCCCTCTTAAATAGCCGCCCCGAGCCGCTACCATACACCGAAGCACCTATAATCGCCTCGCCCCAAGCACGCCACACGCCGAACCCTAGCTTCCGCCGCCGCACGCCGCGCCGCCGATTTGCCGCGTCACCACCACGGTAAGCCTCTTGTCGAGCTTCACCAAGCGCCGAAGAAGGTTCCGGTTCCGTTTTCCCTCTTTTTCTCCCTCTCTCTTGCTCGCTGTGTGCTGCCAGACTTTGCAGAGCACTGCCGTCCGCTGTCCCGAGCCTCTGCTCGTCGTTGCTTGCTCGTTGCCGTCTCTGAACCCATAGCCGAGATCATAGTCATCTCCTCTTCCTCCGTGTGTACTTGATTTGGCCGATTAAGCCCGGAATTGGCATAACGCCGAACCCCGGCAAGGTTTACCCGTTGTCGGCCATGGCGCCGTACCATGCTGACCCTGTGCCGATCCCCATCTCCCTCCCTTCTGTTTCCCACCATCCAAATCATGATCTACGGCTCAGATTGGTTATTGACTTTGGTCAATACCGGTCAACGAATTCAGCTATCTATTTTGCAAAAGAGCCCCTGCCCTTTTCTAGTATAGAACCCGCAGTCCATATCATATTTTCGGAATACGCCTTTTTCTTTAGAAAGCGTAGTTTTCCTTCGGTTAGATCCAAAATACATTTTCATCTATTTACAATTTTGCCACTATTTTATTTCGGCCATAACTTCTCTGTTTTAACTCCGATTTGATCCGTTCAAGTTGCGTTAGATTTGTAATTGCATAATTTACATGTTCATCCTACTATTAAATATATTTTCAACTTTTGAAATTTGAGGTTAGATTTAATCAATTATTTTAATAAAGAAAATCTTGTTTAATTCATAAGTTCTTCGTTATAGCTCTAATTAGAGTGGTTTTCGCGTCTGTGTGTTCGTAGCGAGATGTAGATTCGTTTTACAATTTTTTCATCTTGATTTTATGTTTGGTGTACTGTTCTAATTTAGATCTATTGTTTGCTTCATGTATGATTGCATGGATGCTTGTGTTGTGCTTTATGATCATGTCTAGTCGGTGAGCTTTGTATTGGTGATATAAAAGAAGTTGGTGATCCAGAAAAAGTCCTTTGGAGGTTACAATTCAATAGAAGAAGGATATGAGTTTAAGGAAAGTATAGCATGGGATCATCCTTGTTGTCCTATTTACCTTAATATCATTCTAATCATATGCATGTGTCTACCTTGGCAACCGTAGTAATTTTCCTAGCTATATTGATATCCTGGATTCCTTGACACCATTGGGTTATTGCATTTGGTAGTAGGATACTAGTGCTCAATTAAAAACCATGATCTTGTAACTTGACTAATGGTATATGCAATAAACACTAAAAGATGCTTTTTAGCGATATGGAACAAGGGGGCTAGAGCATTGGGCAATTTTATGGTGCTCTAGATTCCTCTCCCTAAGAACTTATCTGTAAGTGAACATCCGGGACTTACAATACAACTATGAGGGCTACATGGCTCTAGCTTTAGTCAAGTCTGAGGACCTTTTCTAGCTTGTCAGTGGTTACCTTTATGGCGCAAGAGGGGCTCCGACAAGTATGACCTTTGCCTGCCAGGTTAAGTGCATTTTGGTTTCTTGACCTTTTGTCAGTCACTCCTTGGAGGGGAGTTCATGATTATTGATTGGGAAACCTAGCGACCCTAACTTGTTAGAAAAACCTTTGAAAGGCTTCATAGTGAACCCTACCGACCTTCCTTTGTAGTGGGTTAAGAGGCTCGCGACCTCGGGCAAAAGGGTAAATCATGACTCACAGTGAAAGTGTACAACCTCTGCCGAGTGTAAAACTGTTATAACAGCCATGCTCATGGTCACGAGCGGCCTAGGAACCCTTACAAAATAGATGATGAACACTGATGATACTGATGATAAACATGCTCACTAATGATTACTTTTTATGCTATTCATTATTCATGTTTACCTGATCAAGTGTTGATGTGGGCTTGTGGATAAACTTGTTGCTACTCAATTGCTAAAATCATGACTCATTAAAAGCTAATCACAGTTAAACCAGTGTCAGCCTTTTGAGCCTCATGAACCCCATGATATATTTGTTGAGTACGACATGTGCTTATGCTTGCTTTATTTTTCAATTATTTAGATAAAAACCCCGGATGGGTACCAGATTGCTAGAGTTTGGAGGAATTAGGCTTATGATCAACCAGTCAGTTGTCCCTGTGGAATTGGAGTCTTCATCTGATGATCGGAGTTGTCTTTTCGCTGCTTGCTATCTAATGTCATATTCTTTATACTAAGTACGTTATATATTGAGCATTGTCTATTGGTATTACCCTTATTTGTAGCTATATGTGAGATTGGACTTCCTGGGCTCACATATGGTGTGTATCTAGTTTTGTTCTTAAAACCAGGTGCTACAAAGTGGTATCAAAGCAATGCTGGCTGTAGGACGCAAGCCTAGTTAGAACCAGACGTTTTAGCATGCTCTCATCTTTGCTTAGTTCTTGCTTTCTCTCCAACCTTGTTATTTTCTAAAAGATATGCTCACTTCGGCCTCTGTTCTGTTATAAAATCTTGTCTCTATTCTAACTCCTCTCTCTTCGTCTAAATAGATGGGTCGTAATGAGGAGACTCCCAACATTAGAGATCAGGAGGACCAGGCTATGTTGTCCTTGACTACATTCGACAAGTAGAAGCTTGTAGCTATGCAACAACAAGTACTAGAAGGAATGACTCAACATGGGAGTTCTCAATAGTGCTTGCCACAAGGTCAAACCAACATACTAAAGGGACCAGTGAAGAGACAAGTGGTAGAAGCTTGGAAGAAAATGAAGTCCAATAAAGATATTGGTAGTAAGACTCTTGGTAGCTAGGATCAATGTCAATGCTACAAACATTATGGTTTTCTCTGTCTTAAAACAAGTCTACTA